AGACCAGGGACACCCAAGCAAAGCCTGGGCGGCTTTGCTCGTTTGCCCGGGAGCAAAGCCTCCCAGGTGGCGGGACCCCCGCCGCCTGGGCGGCTTTGCTCCTGTCCCCCTGGTCTGCTGGGGGGGTCCAGCGGCTTTGCTGGACTCCCCCAGAAGACCAGGGAGACCGGGAGAAGCTTTTCTCGCCCCGGAGGACACGGGTGGTGACCCGCCGCCCGTGAGCTCCGGGGCGAGAAAAGCCCTGTTTGTAAGTGCGGATCTGACTTATGTCGGGGACTGCCTGTACTATTAATCTATTGCTTAGATGCCCTCAGCACATTCACACTTTCAGCCCTTAGAAACTGTTGGATATAAACAAAGTGTTGCCTGCAACCAAAATCCTTTTCTACTGCAGTTGGTCACATACAATCTGTGCTTTCTTGTTCAACATAATACCCAATCTGGACACCTGTACTGTTATTTTTAAAGCAAGCAAGCAAGTGGCAGCGTGACAAAGCAAAAGCAGTACCTGTCAGTATGCTGGCCATGGGTGAATTAAAAATCCCTAAATAGATTTATATTCCTCCAGTAATGAGTAGGGCCACGCAGAACTCAAGTGTTTACATTCACATGGATGTGTGGAAATGCTTTTTTATTTGACAGTACCTGGAATTTTGCTTTAAATGTCTGGGTTTGAATCAGAGGTGGATTTAGAGTAACTTGGGGATGAAGTAACTGTTACTGTGCACAGTTTCATTTTTGGGCCTGCTCAAAGGCCAGCAAAGAAAAAGAACATTTTCTCTACCCCTCTATTTTTTTTCATCCTCCTCCTGTTGACAGCGAAAGCTTTGTTATCCGGCACTCTGTTAACTGGAAAACTTTGTTAACCAGCATTGCCCCCAGCCACAATACTGCTGCATCTTCAGGCACATGCGCCTGACTCCCACCTGTCCAAGCTGTTGTGGGGCTTCTGACAGCCGGCACTGCTGGCTGACAGCAGCAGCAGGCGCCTCCATCTCCCTCAGTCTGTAACGTTGCCAGGTGTCCAGTACTGACCCAGACAGTCCAGTATTTTCACCTCCTGTCCAGTAAAAAAATTCAGAAAATACCAAACGCCTAAAATGTTCTGTATTTTCTGATTTTTTTTCCCTGGACAGCAACCATGGACTCAGCAACCAGGGACTTGGCAACCAGGCCCTGCCCCCAGGCCTCCCGCAAGGCCCCCCCAACCCTCCGCCAGGCCCCCCCGTGCCCCTCTCCCACCTACCTGGTTTTGTAGGAGCTTGTCTTGTGGCTGGAGCTGAAAAACAAAATGGCCACCAGCAAAAAAGCCTTTTCTTAAAGGGGAGGGGGGATGTTTGGTATTTTTGGTTAAACCATCTGGCAACCCTATCAGCCTGCCTCAAGCTGCCGGAAGCCAGATCTGCCAGTAGGGGGCAAGGGCAGAGCAATAAGCTTTGTTATCCAGCACATTCAATTAACCAGTAACGCCATGAGTGCTGGATAACAAAGCTTTCACTGTATAATAATAGAAAATACATGAAAGTAAAGTGGGGTACCTTAACTGGGGCAGGTGTTGGCACTTCAGCCCCCTGCCCCAGTCCAGATCTCTCACCCAAATTTCCTCCCAGAATCCACCCCTCCATGCCCTTCAATGCCTATTCCCCAACCCCAGAGCCCACACCCAAAACTCCTTCCCAGAGCTTGATCCCCGCACGCTGCAAGAGGTATGGGGGTCAAGCTCTGGGAGGCGGTTTGGAGGGGGGGGTGCGGGCTCTGGGCTGCATGAGAGGTTTGGGGTGTGGGAAGGTCAGAGGGTGGGGCTTACCTCTGGCAGCACAGTTTCCAAGGCAATTGGCATGCATCTCTGGCAGTGACTCATGAGAAGGGTGGGGTATTGGGTCTCTGTGCTCCACTGCCTGAGGTGCTGCCTCCACAGCTCCCATTAGCTACAGCCCTCAGCCAATGGGAACTGAGAAGCTGGCACTTGGGGCAGAGGCAATACATGAAGACTCCAGCTGCGGGGCCAAAGGGACATGCTGGTCACTTGTGGGGAGGGAGGGAGAGAGGTACAGCAGACAGAGAGCAGTCTTACCCCTGCTCTGCTACTGCTGACACATATCTCTGTGCCCCTTGAAAGGAGGGGGGGTCATGGGTCTCCATGTGCTACTTGGGGCAGAAGCAACTTACACTGAGCTGCCTTCCACCACAGCCAGGGGTGTGCAGAGATTTGCTAGCAGCTGGCTGCTTCCAGGAGCAATGTGGGTCTATTGGCCATGACATGCAGGAAGGCTGCCTGTCTGAGCCCTACTACACTGCTGCATTTTGAGGGCCTCCCCGTGCCACTGCTTGGCATGTTTAATGGTAAATCTGTTCTTGCTTTGAATAAATACAAAACCGTACAACAAAACTCAGTGAAAACATCTAACTGGTAGGATGATAGAGACAGAAATGGGTAGAGACAGACCTGAACCAAAATCCCTGTTCCAAACACCTCAAGCTCTAGATCCAAAACCAGACTTTCCTAATTTCCTAGTTTAAGCCCATTTCTAAAATGATGGATTTTCACCTGACTTTAACAGGAAACCATACATCAACTCAGGTTTCCTCAGTCTGGCTAACAACCTGAAACCAAGCAGGCAGCATGATTTCAAGTTGCGTGTTGTTGCAAACACTTTGCACAGCTCTAATGGCCAAACATGTCTGCAATCTTTTTTTTTTAAATCACCCAATAATGCAATACAAATAGCAGTCATGTCCTGGTAAGTACACATTGCCCTAACCAAAAAAGAGACACCCACGTGTGTGCACACTCATGCACATCACTTTACTTATCTCAACAGTCCCTTTTTCAAAGGGACATGTCTTATGAAAGCAGTTGTGAAGAAGGGTGTGTTTATAAATAAATTGTTACCTGCAGTCACAGTTCTTTTATACTGCACAGTCTAGTTCAAGTTCATTGTTGCTGGTGAAGCACAGGTAGCCGCCTAAATGTTCTTCCATATCAAACGACCCAAGTTAGCTTGCTCTATGAAAAGTTAAGACAGTGGGTATTTAACTCTTAATTCATGTGAGCCACTGAGCATTGCATAAATGCATGGACAGACATTGAGTATATCTGCAAATGAGCGGAAGCATGTCTAAGAAACTTGAGTACTTGTGGTGAATTTTTTAATATTAAAATCTTGAAAGCCTCTCAACAGCCAACAAAGAAAACCTTGAAAAGCTGAAGGTTAACATTCATCATTTGGACATGACAAGGTCTTCAGACCTTCTAAAGTAACCAATGTGACCTGATTAAGGCAAAGGCCAAAGAGACATTAGAGTGTAATGCAACTGCCAGAACATGATCCTTTCTCATCCTGGAAGGAAATCTAGTCTTCCATATTAAGGGCCAAATTAAGGCCTTTAAATTATTTAACCTCAAATGCTCAGGTTAGGGTCTTGAAATCCATCCATCTCATTTGCAGGGGAAAGGAGGATTGAGAGGGCTTCCAGGAACAAAACCACAGTGGTTTTAAATTTGCAAGATGATTGATTAAATGAGGCCCCAAAATTTCTCAAGCAGACTAGAGTCTGAGAAGCTGAAAGGAAACAGCGAATCGCTCTCAGCTTCTGTTACCTTCTGAAACAGATTGGGGATTGATTTCTAAAGGTGCTGACTTCAGTTGGAAGCATCATTTTAAAGCAAACTAAAATGACCACTCTGAAAAACTAGAATGTCTAGGGAGAATTTGCTGTAAGAGGAGCATACCAGTTGGCCCTTGTGGAGTTGTGCATATGTGGGCGTGTGTAGTGGTTAAGATAGACTAGTAGCACCCAGAGATTAAATTGGGGCCAGGGCTCTGTTAAAGATGGCCAAAATAGAACTTGTAATAATTTCTCACTAACCTCCTCTGCCTCTCCCTCTTCTGTCAATCGTCCTCCCTGTTGCTCAAACCCACAAGATGAGAAGTAACTTTGATCGTTGCCATGACCTCTGTCTTGCCCCTTCTCGGAGGCCATGCCTCTCACTTACTCCATCCCCCCTTCTTCCACTGCATGCTCTCCCCCACCCTCACTTATTTTCACCAGCATGGACAAAAGGGTTGGTGTGCATGAGATGGGGTGGGCTGTGTGCTGGGGCTGAGGGATTTGCAGTATGGGAGCTCTGGGCTGAGCCTGGGGCAGGGGTTAGTATGCAGGAGGGCGTGATGGCTCTGGAAGGCCATTTGGGTGCAGGAGGGAGTTTAGGGTTGGGGCAGGTGATTGGGGAGCAGGTGAAGGTGAGGGGTGAAGGCTTGGGGAGGGGGGGAGTTTGAGGTGGGAGAGAGCCTGGGAATGGGGTAGAGAGTTGACTTGTGGTTGATGGGTGTGGGGTCTGGCAAGGCGTCACTTACCTTGGATAGCTCCAAATCCCAATTGGAAGCACATGGGCAGAGGCAATACATGAAGACTCCAGCTGCGGGGCCAAAGGGACATGCTGGTCACTTGTGGGGAGGGAGGGAGAGAGGTACAGCAGACAGAGAGCAGTCTTACCCCTGCTCTGCTACTGCTGACACATATCTCTGTGCCCCTTGAAAGGAGGGGGGGTCATGGGTCTCCATGTGCTACTTGGGGCAGAAGCAACTTACACTGAGCTGCCTTCCACCACAGCCAGGGGTGTGCAGAGATTTGCTAGCAGCTGGCTGCTTCCAGGAGCAATGTGGGTCTATTGGCCATGACATGCAGGAAGGCTGCCTGTCTGAGCCCTACTACACTGCTGCATTTTGAGGGCCTCCCCGTGCCACTGCTTGGCATGTTTAATGGTAAATCTGTTCTTGCTTTGAATAAATACAAAACCGTACAACAAAACTCAGTGAAAACATCTAACTGGTAGGATGATAGAGACAGAAATGGGTAGAGACAGACCTGAACCAAAATCCCTGTTCCAAACACCTCAAGCTCTAGATCCAAAACCAGACTTTCCTAATTTCCTAGTTTAAGCCCATTTCTAAAATGATGGATTTTCACCTGACTTTAACAGGAAACCATACATCAACTCAGGTTTCCTCAGTCTGGCTAACAACCTGAAACCAAGCAGGCAGCATGATTTCAAGTTGCGTGTTGTTGCAAACACTTTGCACAGCTCTAATGGCCAAACATGTCTGCAATCTTTTTTTTTTAAATCACCCAATAATGCAATACAAATAGCAGTCATGTCCTGGTAAGTACACATTGCCCTAACCAAAAAAGAGACACCCACGTGTGTGCACACTCATGCACATCACTTTACTTATCTCAACAGTCCCTTTTTCAAAGGGACATGTCTTATGAAAGCAGTTGTGAAGAAGGGTGTGTTTATAAATAAATTGTTACCTGCAGTCACAGTTCTTTTATACTGCACAGTCTAGTTCAAGTTCATTGTTGCTGGTGAAGCACAGGTAGCCGCCTAAATGTTCTTCCATATCAAACGACCCAAGTTAGCTTGCTCTATGAAAAGTTAAGACAGTGGGTATTTAACTCTTAATTCATGTGAGCCACTGAGCATTGCATAAATGCATGGACAGACATTGAGTATATCTGCAAATGAGCGGAAGCATGTCTAAGAAACTTGAGTACTTGTGGTGAATTTTTTAATATTAAAATCTTGAAAGCCTCTCAACAGCCAACAAAGAAAACCTTGAAAAGCTGAAGGTTAACATTCATCATTTGGACATGACAAGGTCTTCAGACCTTCTAAAGTAACCAATGTGACCTGATTAAGGCAAAGGCCAAAGAGACATTAGAGTGTAATGCAACTGCCAGAACATGATCCTTTCTCATCCTGGAAGGAAATCTAGTCTTCCATATTAAGGGCCAAATTAAGGCCTTTAAATTATTTAACCTCAAATGCTCAGGTTAGGGTCTTGAAATCCATCCATCTCATTTGCAGGGGAAAGGAGGATTGAGAGGGCTTCCAGGAACAAAACCACAGTGGTTTTAAATTTGCAAGATGATTGATTAAATGAGGCCCCAAAATTTCTCAAGCAGACTAGAGTCTGAGAAGCTGAAAGGAAACAGCGAATCGCTCTCAGCTTCTGTTACCTTCTGAAACAGATTGGGGATTGATTTCTAAAGGTGCTGACTTCAGTTGGAAGCATCATTTTAAAGCAAACTAAAATGACCACTCTGAAAAACTAGAATGTCTAGGGAGAATTTGCTGTAAGAGGAGCATACCAGTTGGCCCTTGTGGAGTTGTGCATATGTGGGCGTGTGTAGTGGTTAAGATAGACTAGTAGCACCCAGAGATTAAATTGGGGCCAGGGCTCTGTTAAAGATGGCCAAAATAGAACTTGTAATAATTTCTCACTAACCTCCTCTGCCTCTCCCTCTTCTGTCAATCGTCCTCCCTGTTGCTCAAACCCACAAGATGAGAAGTAACTTTGATCGTTGCCATGACCTCTGTCTTGCCCCTTCTCGGAGGCCATGCCTCTCACTTACTCCATCCCCCCTTCTTCCACTGCATGCTCTCCCCCACCCTCACTTATTTTCACCAGCATGGACAAAAGGGTTGGTGTGCATGAGATGGGGTGGGCTGTGTGCTGGGGCTGAGGGATTTGCAGTATGGGAGCTCTGGGCTGAGCCTGGGGCAGGGGTTAGTATGCAGGAGGGCGTGATGGCTCTGGAAGGCCATTTGGGTGCAGGAGGGAGTTTAGGGTTGGGGCAGGTGATTGGGGAGCAGGTGAAGGTGAGGGGTGAAGGCTTGGGGAGGGGGGGAGTTTGAGGTGGGAGAGAGCCTGGGAATGGGGTAGAGAGTTGACTTGTGGTTGATGGGTGTGGGGTCTGGCAAGGCGTCACTTACCTTGGATAGCTCCAAATCCCAATTGGAAGCACATTGGAGCTAAGGCAGGCTCCCTGCCTGCCCTGGCCCTGCACCACTTCCGGAAGCAGCTGGTAGGTCCCTGTGGCCCCCTAGACAAGTGGACCAGGGGAATCTGTGTGATGCCCCCGCTTGCAGGCACCATTCCTATAGCTCCATTGGCTGCAGTTCCTGGCCAATGGGAGCTGTGGAGTCAGTGATTGGGGCTGGGGCATAGTGTAGAGAACCCTGTTCCCCGGGGCCATAAGGATGTGCCAGCTGCTTCCGGGAGCAGCATGGGTCCAGGGCTGGCAGAGAGCCCTGTTACTCTGCTGGACTTTTAAGGTGTGTCTAGACTACATGGTTTTGTTGACAAAAGTGGACTTTCGTTGACAAAACTATACCTGCATCTACACTACCGCTGTGTTCTGTGGATAGTAAGTTGACAGAACGCGGCAGTTTTGTCAACGGCTGTAAACCTCGTTTTACGAGGAATAAGGTTTTGATCTGAGGAAGTGGGTCTGGCCCACGAAAGCTCATCATCTAATAAACCATCTTGTTAGTCTTTAAAGTGCTACATTGTCCTGCATTTTCCTTTGCCGACAGAGCTCTGTCAACAGAAGGTAAGTGTGGACGCAGGGAAGAATTTATGTCGACAATAAAGGCCTCCAGGAAGAAGCCCTGGTGGACGCCCCTGCCACAGCTTTCAACTCTATTGTTCCTGCTTGTAGCCATCTTTAAAAGGCACAGGCACCCAGGAGTAGCATTCTGGCAGCAAGCCAGCTCCAGCCAGGATCCTGACTGCACAGCTTTTCCTGGTAGAGGCACTCGGAGCCATGTCCCAGGGACAAGCCCCCCAAGACCTCCCCGGCCCTTCCAGGAACACATCCCTGCAGGAAGCCAGAGGCAACAAACGCCAGGCATCTTCCTAGTCTGGGCCCAAGATAAAAGCCCTCTTGGAGCTCTGGTCCGAGGAGGAGGCTCTTCAGGCCCCACAGTCCAGGCAGAGGAACACTGACATTTATTCCAGAATGGTGGATGGCCTGGCAAAGAAAGGCCACCACTCCCGCACCTTAGCCCAGGTCAGAGCCAAGGTCAAGGAGCTGTGGCAGGGGTACATTAAGGCCCGTGAGCACAGCTCCCGCTCTGGGGAAATGGCACACTATTGTGCTTATTACAAGGACCTGGACCGGATCCTGGGTGCAAGGGAACCCCTGCCTCCTGAGAGGGTTGTGGAGTCTGGCTTGGAGACCTCTGTGCAGCAGTGGCCACAACTCTAAGGTGAGACCCCAGCAGACAACCAGCAGCTCCAAGAGGAATAGGAGGAAGACACCATGAGGAGCACAGCAACCCTGACACAGGAGCCAG